AGTTTCAGGAAAAAATACCCCTTCTCTTTTTGTCCTGATCCATTTCTATAAAAACCTGTCTGAAAATGAGCTGATCAGATTTTGGCCACTTTATGATGTCATAATGATGTTTTGTCTTGTGTAACCATTGGCCAATAACCAACAAAGGTAACCCCCCCCCCCCCCCCCCCCCCCCCCCCTTATCACCTGAATCTCCTCCTAGAGCACCATTGAGTTCTTTGTAACCAAATCTCTCTCAGAGGGGCGTGGGGAGGGGCTCCTTATTTTCATCTAAAGTAACAGACAGAGAATCAGCACTTTAGAAACAGGGCTGAAACAGAGGGGATTATGGGATGCTACAATGATCTGTTTGGTGTTTCGAGCAAAACACTTCATAATTAATAATAATAATTCCTTACATTTATTATAGCGCTTTTCCAGATGCTCAAAGCGCTTTACAAATACACATTACACATATTTTGTATACATGCAATGGTCACTGTGGACAATACCCACAGGAGCAAGTTCAGGTGAAGTGTCTTGCCCAAGGACACAACGGCTTTACAGACGCAGCAGCGGCGGGTTTCACCCCTTGATCTGATGATCATTGCACAGCGCACTGCGCCACACCGTCCATCTTCACGCCTCGAAGTCATCGAGGCGCTTTTACAAGTACACATTGATATCATACATGTACTGTGGACATTACCCACAGGAGCAAATCCGGGTGAAGTGTCTTGCCCAAGGACACAACGGCCTGACGCAGTTGCGGCAGGAGCTGGTTTCGAACTGGAGTTCCCCAGCACCCCCCTTGATCTGATGATCAGATGCACAGACCACTGCGCCACCCGTCCCACTTCAGAGACATGTTTTGTATATATCTGAGACCTATAATAAATGAATAAACAGTATAATAGGGGACCTTTAATTGGAAATCAGCTTTAATGTTGTCTTAACCCAGGCCTTTAACTATTGTTCTCTTTGGCAGTGCGTATCTTTTAGCGCCCTGATGGAGGAGTTGGGAACCTCCCTGCAGTGTTACAAGGGCGTCCGGAGGAGGTCAAGAGCCCAGAGCGGAGCCAGGACAGTTTGTGTCCTCTGTCAACCCAAACGCACCAAGAGAGAAGGAGCGAGGCGGGACTCCAGCACGTGAGCCTGGATAAGCTAACGGATGGAAATGGATCAGAGACTCATAACTGATCGCTCTCCACTCCATTATTTGTTCGCCAGAGAATGATATAAAGTTGTTTCCTCTTCACATCTGTGTCTGGATAATTCATTAAGTATTCTACTGTAGATTTAGTTAACAAAGTCTTGGCCTTGTATCAACATTAATAATGTTAAAACGGGCGAGTACAACCTCATAGTTTAAAAAAACAACATTTCTGTTCCCTAATGGCTGTAGTTCACTGCACACGTTATAGATACTCCTGTTGTGTAAATGTATGACAACTTCACTGACTTTCAGAGTAAAAGGATTTTTGAATTTTTTAAACCAATGACTGATGCTTGTTGTTTATGCTTGGCAGCAGTTTGTGCACGTGTCTCTTGTGTGCCTACTGGCAGGCAGCAGAGTATCTTCAGAGCCTATTGCTGAGCCAACCCTGGCCAGTGAAAAAAGATAAGGACCTCTAAGGAAAGCAAGGAACACACCTGCTGTTTTATGCCCTTCAAGCACCGACATCGCAGACAGCAAATCCCCATTCCGAACACATACTCGCACAAACACACAGCCCGTCAAATGCTTGTGATCATGAAATATTGGCCTCTTTGCATCAGAGAAAGATTGTAATACGGGCAGAAGGAAAGGTGAAATGAGAAGCAGCTTTTTCAATGTGTGAAATTCTTAGAAGGGCAAAGACATTTTTTTTGGTTCCCCTAGGAGTAATAGTTTATTTTTCAATATTTGTCTCTGTCTGCAGTTGTAGACATTTGAAAGCCTTAAGGGATATTTCGTCTCCCAGAATTGAATCTCAGTAGAAGTGTGTATTTATAAAGTGAAAAGCTTCTCTCTATACTCCACATGCTTACTGTAAATGTTTACCTACCGGAATATTTGAAGCTCATTATAATTTATCATGCGATTAGTTAATTAATTAATTAACTAACATTAATAACCTTATTTTGGAAGAACAAGTGGGTTCCATACTGTTAAAACACTTTTAAAAAAGTTGAATGTATAGCTGCTGAAAATGTGTTTCATGAAAACCTAATTTAAATGTGTTTGATGTGATTCACAAATCCAATCTGCCTACACACAAATCAAATTCTTTTTTCTTTTTTTACAAATTCCAACCAGAATGAAGGATGGATATGTTCTCAACAGCTGGAGCGTAATTACCTCTCTGCAGCATGAATACAGAAAGGAATCAATTACGTTGTTCCTTGACAAGTCCTGTACATCTTCCTCATTTGCATTGTGTTCTGCTACATTAAGATCTCCTCCGTATCATCAGGATTGTTTCTGTCCTCTGTAAACTGACTTTAGGGTCAAATCATTGAATCAGTGAAAGGTCAGAGAGCGTTGTCTCTCTGGCACATCATGCCAAACCCCTTTTAATCTTTTCTCTCTATCAGCATCTACTTCCTCTGCCGCTTTACTCTTAACGTCTGAGTGTGTACCTGCCTTGTACTCTGTCAGTGGACTTGAAGTGTACTACTGTGTGTTTTTTGGAAAAGCTTATTGAAGTCGGCATTTCAGTATTCTTGCCTTTTTCTTGAAACACTACCATCAGTACAACCAGAATCAAGAAAGAAATACAAACAACTCTACTGCCAAATAGTGTGGAATAGATCAAATGTTATTGAAGCACCCTACGCGCTTAACACAATTCATTATCAATAATGTCAGGACACTCAAAACTGACCTAACATTTACCAGCTAATGCAATGACATTTCCAACAAGAAAGAGCAACAAATGGATCCAAATTCTTTATAAATGACTCGAGTCAGAGGTTTTGTTTTGACATTTCTCTAGGTGCATGGTGTGCGCTGGTTTAAATGCGTCCTGAGAGAATTGAACCGAGTTTTCTTAATCTCTCCATGTAATGAGTTTTCTCCTTTTTGGTATTCAGATTAATTCTGGGATTGGGCTCCCTCAGTCCAATGTCAGTGTCTCTAATCTCCTAACCCCATAATTCTTAATCAAAACCAAAGGCAGTATTTTTTTTATCATTATCTAATCCGTGGAAGCCGTGGATTACTCCTCTGGTTTTGCAATCTGCACTGCTGAGCAGGACGCTCGTCCTTTTCATCATCAGATGACCTCACCTGAACAATGTTGTGCAGTTAGACAATATTTCTGTCTTCACCTGTCTTTTTGTCCCTGTTTGTTCCTCCATCAGAAACGTTTGTTTGTCTTAATGATCGTGAAACGCAGAGCCCCCAACCTTGGTGGTAGTGGAAGAGGTGAAAAAGAAATGGAGAGAGATAACGGGATTGTGGCATCTGTCTGTTTGTGCCGTCAGTAAGAAGGTCAGAGATTATGATCTATAACTTCTATACCTCTTGCACAGATTATCAGAAAGAGATTGAGAGAACATTTAGATGAAGAGACAGTTCAAAGAGCTTGTTGTTGACATTTAAACATGTCCAAAATGAGCGTCCAGGAAAGGTCAATAAAGCACAGAAAACTCAGAATGGCTACTTTTAGACAATATGTTCTGTAAAACCAACTGCATTATAGAAAAACATTAGGAAGCACTTCAGACTTGTGCCTCATATCTTATACCTTTCATATAAAACCTGTCAAGTATGGTTTTAAGTATCACTACTCAAGGCTCTCAACTGTACATGAAGAAGACTTCAATCCAAACTATGTCTCTAAGATAAAAGAGTGGCAGACGTTTGAGTGGGTCCCATCCATCACAATGAGATGAACAGTCTCTGGGGCTGATAAGGCAGGTCTGTGTCAACAGCCTGTCAATGAAGACAAACGAGGAGGAGGGCTTTGAGAGGAGCAGAGCATCATTTATCTCTCTCTCTGTTGGTCTCATGGGTTTCTCTTTCTCTACTGTGGAAAAGCCTAGCTGTATATAATTCAGGGGCAATGCTCTCATCTGGTGGTGTGTAGGTGAACTGGCCTCATATAAAACTTCAGAAAATTGCACTTAATCAGAATATGAGGAAACCCTGAGACCTAACAATGTGAGAAAACAGGACTTAATCTTTTTTTTTTTTTAGCCATACTCAAAGGCTTAAGGTCAGGTGAGTATTATGATGTGTTTGGCCTATTGTGAATGCTTGTCATGCACGTTCAGCCTATAAACAAAACAGATGAAGGGTACATTGTGAAGCCCATATCTCAAGTTTTATGTTTGGATTACATTGAAAAACGAATCAATACCATGTAAAAGCAATACACCCAGAACTAAATCAGCATTTGGCATACTGAATTTGACATATAAAGTAACATGGGACGCTAAATAGTATTGGTATTGGAAAGCACCATATGTCTTTCTGTCTAAAAACAGAAGGTTGATATTTTCTTTTTTGTTGAATAATGACATCATTAGGGTTATGTTTTCATAGACTTAAGAAAGCTCCCACAGAGCCACATTTAGTAAACTGCTGTGTGAAAATTCCCGAGTAGCGCCCCTTGCCTTTAAATTTATTTTTGATGTAGCTTTATAATTGCAAGGAACTCGTCTTATATAAACAAACTATAGGCCTATCACCTGCGTAAAGGTGGACTTGCACTTCATTGCCAACACCATCCCTCCCCCCAAAAGAAAAACACTCTTGCTCTATTTTCTTCCGCCAGAGCTTTTATAGCACGATATGTTCATTCTGAGCAACTGTCTCATTGCAAAGCTATTACAAAGCTCAAGACCATCCCAGCGGCATGACCGTGTCACTCAAAACAGTGCTGCAGCTATGGGCATTTTTGCGAGCTAAAGTCATGTCATCCGAGACATTTAATTGGGCCCAGGCCGCCACAGGGGGACAGCAGACATTCCTCCCCCGCCTGCGCCCTGTTGTGTTGCGCTGCGCCGCGTGGCTGCACTCCGTGGATGTCATGCCCATGTCCACGCGCATACTTGAGACGCGTTTATTATGGTGAAGAACTTCTGAATACCAAATAATATCGTTTTTGTCTCCCGAGGGACGTTGAGGTTAACTTTTGGAGAGATAGTTGTGCCATGCTGATGTACGACTTGTGTTTTTTCTGAAGAGACATCAGCAGACGGTGAATCAATATTGAGGACGTACACTGCCATCTGATTTCTAACTTGTTTATAAGGAATTTCATTGGTCGGGCTCCTGCTGCTGCTTCAGGTAATAATGACCTGTTGCATTTCCAGTGCATGCTGGAAATACTCCATATGTATGGGATAAAGTAGTCTTCATCATTATGTGGAACAATGCTTAAAATATATGCACTATTATGCTATTCCAGCTGCCTGTTCTGTCACATTTGACCTTTCAGAGATACATTAAAACAATGTATTTGCTAGTGTAGAAAGTCAGGGAGGCATGTTATGTGTGACAGGGTTTACCAGGGTTAAAGTAGGCAAATGCCCCCTGATATAAAAAGCCCTTACCCTTACAGAGGGGGCACAATCCAGACCTCAGAGCCAGTCTGTCAAAGCTCTCTAATGATTTAATCCCACTGCAACTTTAAATGGATGATGAAACTGGTGGTGTGTGTGTGTGTGTGTGTGTGTGTGTGTGTGTGTGTGTGTGTGTGTGTGTGTTTATAAAGCCCCATACTTTCCTAGGTGTGGATTAATCACATGGCTTATCAGAACAGGCTTTCGTTTAATAAACACAACACCTGCTGAGTTCACTGTTTAGTTGAGTTGAGTTGAAGTCACAATATTGGGATGAAAAAAAACTATACTTACCCTTCCATTTCAGATAGGACAAACTACATATCAAATTACCACTTTAACCACTGGTTTATCATTTGTTATAAAAGTAAAAATAAATGCCACTTACAGTTTCCCAGAAATGTCGGAAGCACCTTTAGATTATTCTGACCTAGCAATTGTTTAAACCCCACACATTTAGAGTTATATAAAACAGCAAGGCAAGAAAACCCCACATTTAGGAATCTTGAAACTGTATTTTTTATTAAATGTGTTAAATGAATTATAGGTCTGTCAGTTTCCAGTTGATCGAGTGATCGTTTCATTATTACATCATCACTTCTCTTTCATGAGATCCTCGCCCTAACAGCTGTGTTTTGTGCTTGGGCCCGTGAAGGGATAAATGATCACCTCAACCAGAAGAGTGTCTCCTGATAAATCTGAAGTTAGAATCGCCTTCAGCCTCGAAGACACATCAGGTAAACTCACTCACTAACTAACTGTGCACTCACACAAACCTGCAAATGCCCACACACACACACACACACACACACACACACACACACACACACACACACACACACACACACACACACACACACACACACACACACACACACACACACACACACACACACACACACACACACACACACACACACACACACACACACACACACACACACACACACACACACACACACACACACACACACACACCTGTGTTTCCAGCATCCTCAAAAAAGACTAACACATTTCTTTGAGTTTAGTTAAACCTATTAATCAATAGATAATGTAACACCTGCATTGCTTGGAGCTCTACTCTCACTGCATTTCCAGTATGTGTGGAACACATGCACGGCATTCCTCCTACCAAAACAGACCAGGCACAATCTGCCCCTCACACCCCCACCCCCACCCCCTCCTCCCTCACACCCTATCCCTTTAACTGTGTTCATTCTTCTACGCTGCAGCTGAGACAGGTGCTCCCTCTATTTCTGTAGGACCCCTGCATATTAAAAACCAACCACACATGCATGTGAGCAGCTGTGCACTTGCACCACGCTAGCGATTGCACAACCTTTTATGTGACCATGATTACTTCATTCTATCATTTTCAATCAGAACTCAGCGGTCTGTCCAGGGACAAGGTGTCTTTCAGGATGTTTTACTCGAGTGGGGCCGGGCACTGGGACAGCAGCTGCTCCTATGAAATGGCAGAGTCAGGTTTCCCTCTAATACTAACAGTGTCCTGCTGCCTGATTCACTGTTCAGCTTTTAGAACACTGGCCTATATTTATAAGCAGTTAACACTTCCAGTCCTACTCCGCCCATCTCTGATCCCCCTTGTCTTTCTCTTAGGAAGTGAGATGAAGGGCTGTAGCCGGAACTACACTCAAATCCCACTCTGAGCAATGATTCATTGAACTCATTGACATTCTGCTTGTCATTTTCTCATGGCAACATGTACTGTATCTTACTGAGTTACATTTGCATATTTCTTAATGCTGTTAATAGCTTGCTTTTTGATTTACATCGGTGGATTCAGATTTAGTTTCCCTTTACCATATGGTTTTTTTCTCTATCCTTTTTCTTGAGGATCAAATACCTATCCAGCGACGACGACTATACTTGGTAACATGCTTACGTGCCTTGTTTTAATTTAGTTAAACCATCCAGAGCTGCTCAGGCACAACCTGACCCTACCCTCCAAAATCAAATTTTAGATATTCCCAAGACGATCATGTTGTTCCCTCTTTGAACTCGTGTTCCTCGGCAGGGGACCTGTGCTCCATCTAGGGATCATCGTCTGGGGCTTTCATGACTTCATGCCAGGCATAGTTATAACCACTGTGTCAATCCTAAGCATGAGAACTGTATTTATTCCTCATCATAATTGGCCCCGTGGCTGCAGCCTGGCCCACTGATACCTCTGCTTTTAGAAGGTTGCATCATCCCAGGATTCTCCACATGTGTTCCACAATTCCTGGGGGACATTACTGGCTGGTGCAGACAACCTATCTGTTTCTGTCTGTCTGGCTGCCTGTCTGAATCCCTCTCTGTCCATACATCTGGCCTGTCTGTTCTTTCTGCCCACTGTTGGTCTGTTTGTGTTCTTACTCTGCATGTCATTCAGTGTGGCAGCTCATTACTGATGTACAGTAAGAGGACATGGCTCATTTATAAGCGTAGCAGCTTGTTGCTATGCTGTGGTGTCGTATAAGACGCCCCTACAGTGTTTCATTTTGTTCTATTTTATGAGGCGGGGAAAGGCATTTAAGCAACTGCTCGTCGGACAAGTCACTTGGCTGTACATCAACAACATGCAGCAAGCAATACTAATGAAATAGAAACATATATACATTTCGACTTTTAGCATCCTATGAAAATCAACTTGCAGTTAAAAGTGTTTTTAATGCTAAAAGAAACCCTATTCATTAAAGGAAATACGTAATTGTCCATCAAGATTAGCATGGTTGTTAGTGTTTGTCTTACTTCTTTGACTTTTACTCGTGTGTTTACTTTGAATATGTAGCCCATGATTGCAACATTATTTTGTAGTAAATTCCTAATGTAATAGCTTCCTGCAATGCTTCCAATATGTTCAAAGCAATTTCTGCTTGCACTGGTATCACCACATGATTCATACCAAACATTTGACAAGATAATCTCTCTCCCACAAGTTTCATATATCTGCAGGCCGATTTTAATATAGTACTGGGAGAGAATGAAGGAAATCATTCTGGGAAGAAGCAGTAAATGAAGCTAAACCTATTGTCTTGTACTTCTTGTCATGTACTAACCATAACTCAACACTATATGAAATATTTAGCCCAAACTCAACCAATATCCAAATGTCCCTTACATTGTAATGCATGAATAATAATAAGCCAATAATTCAAAAATATATAATAACAGTACTCTTTGATAACTCAGCACATGTTCCTAATTATTCATGTCTGAATAACGTCTTCTGTTTTAATAGATGTAAAAGATGTGGCGGACATCCCTCAGACTTTCCCAGACCTTGAACAGCGACTACAGGTATACAGTAATACTATACTAGTACATACCTTTTTCTGTTTTGTTTTGTTTCTTTGTTTATTTTTGGTTTTTGTTTTGTTTGTCTACCCTCCCTCCCAAATGTAAAGCGTCTTTGGGTTCAAGAAAAGCGCTATAGAAATTAAATGTATTATTATTATACTGTATGTGTATACACTACTGGTCAGGAAGTTAGAGTCACGATTGTACGAGAAAGCTTTCAGAATAATTGATTGATTTTTTTTTTAAATCAAGTTTTTTCCTCATGATGTCCCACTTTAATCTAAGTTTAAATATAAAGTCTAAGTAGATTTTCTTTCCTCGGAATAGTTCCCTCCTCTCGGCTCTGAATATTGATTTTATATTTTAACTACAATGGCCCAACTATTCTGTTAATGGTAGACTCTGAATCTGCTACATCAAGAGAAGTTAATTTGATCAACCCTGTAAATCAGTGTCTTGACTGTGTGCACTAAAGCTGCTATTAGTGTTGTCATTGAATTATCCTTCAGCGTGTGCCAGTGCCAGGGTTAGATAAAGCTGGTTTAAAGTATCAAATGAGAACAGTAGTAACAGGCCAATGAATAATAGCTTTTATACACTCTACCACAGGCTTACTCACTAGCATTGGGCCATAGGGTGTTCTACTGTAAGGCCTTTAAGTTTGTGACATAAAGCATTTGTTCATCTCATACAAGCAGTATGGAGACAAGTCAGTTCAGGTCTCATTTTTATAATGTAACGAGATACTTTATTAAATCAAAGTTTAAAAAAAACATGTTCTTGAATATCATTTACCTCTGTTATGTATGTGTTTGTTTTTTTATTTATCTGCTTATTTGTTTGTTTATTTGTTTGTTGTTTTATGTTTTTGTTTTGTTTGTTTGTTTTTGAATAACAAATGTATTTCTTTAATAAAAAAAAGATATGTTAGTCATTTAGTTTTTGGGAGAAGGGGTGGGATTAAATAAGTGCAAACTTCTTCCCACCCCTTTTCGGATGTATAATTAAGTAGATTATTTGTTTATACATCATCAGAATCAGAATCAGTAATATTTTTGTATATTAATTTGACACTGCTTAATTTAGTTTTGTATAATAATTCTCATTTTAAATGTTTGTATTATTGTTTTACACATGCGAAATAAATCTAATCGAATCCAAATCAAAGTACATGAAAATGTTGATATTGGGGTTCTGTGGTCAGAGGGTCATTAAAGTAAAGGAATTAGCCATTATACAGCCAAGTAGCATAAATTGTAATAATTAATAACGTCAGTAACATTTTAATTTCTTTAGAAGTTGGAAAGTGGTTGGAAACGTTTTGACATATTACTGATTGTGTGAAATAATGTGTGTTAAATCATAATCTGTTTTGTTTTGTCTTTCTGATCCGTCTCACCCTGCCCCCCTGCAGCCAGTACCCCCCTGTGTGTCTTTGAGAGAGAGCGTCCAGGTGCACAAGGAACACTGCAGGATGGCCAGAGAGTTCCACCAGGTCAAACACGAGATCGCTGCCATTGAGGATTGCAAGTGAGTCCCTATAAAATATCTATTATTGGAAAAACACAAAACAAAACAGGGGGTGTTGTAATGCAACGGAAGCATGTTGGGACCAGAAGAAAATACATAACTAATTTTCATTAATATTAGTTTTTCTTTCTTTGCCTTGTACATCACAATACATATTAGCTTCTGACATTATCAAGGAACATTGACTCTAGGACAACTAATGATTTTAGTAGTTAATTCCCACTGAGGCCATCTTTACTATAAAAATAAAACAATCACTTTTTGTTCAAAATGTCCACCAGGTGGCACATGTTAATAGCTTTCATACAGACTTTAGCATATTAACTCCTGAGAGTACTACTTTAAGATTATATGTGAACAGTTAGTTCTGTACAACTTCATTTTAAGGGATATTTCTTTATTTTTGTAATAACGTTAAATCAGAGACCAGAATAATAGAGTGAATATCGCACTGCGACCATTTTAAGCTGTAATAAGTGAGACCTGCTGTATTTTTGTATGCACCTGTGTGGTGTGTATGCCCGCACACACACACACACACACACACACACACACACCACACACCACACACACACACACCACACACCACACACACACACACACACACACACACACACCACACACACACACACACACACACACACACACACACACACACACACCACACACACACACACACACACACACACACACACACACACAGGGGAGTACTACACACACCACACACACAACACACACACAGGGGAGTACTACACACACACACACACACACACACCACACACACACACACACACACACACACACACACACACACACACACACAGGGGAGTACTACACACACACAGCGCACAATGTCCCCTGTGCCCTCAGCAGCTGTGGGGGGATCTTAGTAGGGGGATTTTCAAGGCCATTGCTGCTGCCCCACCGCCGCTACAACACAAACACACACACACACACACAAACACGAACACACACACACAACACACACACACACACAACCACACACATCCAAACACACATCCAAACACACACCACACACACAAATACCACACACACACACATACACACACACATACACACACACACACACTACACACGCGCACACCACACACACACACACACACACAACACACACAGCACACTACACAACCCACACAAACACATACCACACAACACATACACATACACCAAACAACACATACACACACGACACCCACACATCATACACACACACAACACAACACACACACACACACACCACACACACACACACACACCACACACACCACACACCACACACCTTACGGCCACCTTGGCCGAGCTCCATAATAGAGAACCGCAGGCAGACTCTGATGGGATGAGTGTAGCCCGTGAGTTGTGAGATTAAGCACACAATTGATGAGTCAGGCCAGGCCGCGGTTCTCTCTTTTAACGCTGTCGCTCATGCCAACTTCCACTGACACGTACACACGCCAAGTTTTAGATTCACACCGTCAAGTAAAATTGATTCACCAACTAGGCAGAAGGAAGGGCACTACACAGATTGTGCTTTTTTACGCCAATACTACAAGTACAATATTTCTTTCGTTGTTGATAATTTATTACTCATATTTATCTGTGTTGTGGATTTATTTTTATATTTTTATGCTAAGGTCACTCAACCATTGACAGACATACTTTATACAATCCGACCGTTTTTTGTTTACTTGGCCATTATGATTCACATGCAGAAACTCAGGTGTCTTAGTCTCAGGAACATACAGTGAAGTGTTGCAGAAATTACAACAGGAACAACATTCTAACACACTGCGGAGGGATTTTCCAAAATTCACTCAGTGAACTTTTGGTCAGTAATATCAAATCAGCCCATACTGTTGGAATGTATAGAGAATTTTTTTTACATGAGACAAATTCATTTGTTTCAGAAAACCCCTTTTCAGTGTGTACAAAACAATGATTCAAACATTGGTAGGCCAATAGTAGATACGATCGCAGGAACCATCATGATGCAAACTCTTTCCCAATTGTAAAATAATTATGAAATCATAATATTTCTTCAAAACATTGGTGTCCATATTAGAAGATTTGAAATGATGTCATACTTGTTCATAACTTTAACTGGATGGTGTCTGTTATGTTGTTTCTAAGCACATTTTGTTCAGGTATTCACAACTTTGGCACACAGAAGAGACAACATTAGCACATATGATGGTGTATTAGTTGTTCGTTAAATAGGAAAAACAATCGGTATTATTTACATCAGATTTAATTCCTCTTTTCTGGTTTCCAAATGCATTTTTCTGAGCTAAGAAGGATCTTTCCTCTTTTCTTAGCCTCTCTCTGTAAAACAAACTTACTTACACACAGCAGGAAACATATGCACATGCACATGCACGTTTCAACTTGCTCCTGAAAAGAAAACAGAAACGCAGCAAAAATGTAATGCATCGGATTCCCTGATCATTGACTGTAAATCACACTGTGTGTCGCTTGTTGTGGAAAACGCTGTGGTTTGAAAAAGCTTAACTTTAATTGCAGATTAATACAATTATTTAATCCCTCTATAAAATGAAATCATATACGATTGTAAAATTGTAAAGGACCGTGACCAAAAGCCTTCTCTTTGTGTTTTAGGTGTTTGTCACAAAGTATTACAAAAATAAATGAAGTTATGCTTTTCAAAAAGGATGATATTACCAGTCTTAGAGGGTGTAACAACTAAAAATAGACAGAGAATGAGAAGAGATAGAAAGATAAGGTGATGAGTCATATCATATTTCATAGCTTCCGCTGAACTGTCTATTTGTATTATTGCTTTTTACATCAGGAAATGAAAATACTAGGTGTTATAGGTATGTGAAAAGGATGATTACAAATTAAAAGTCCATCCAGTAAATTTAAACTAACATAATATTTGAAGGAATTATTTGTGATCCATATTTAAACAAAATAGTAGCCATAATAACACAAAACACTTCACAAAAAAACCCTGTCAGTATCCTGCTGTCACAATCAAATTAATTCATATTATGGCGATGCCTAGACAAAATGTCAATCTGAGTCAAAATCAATTAATATTTTGAAACAGAGTTGGAAAAATGTTTTACCTATATTTATATGTATCATATGTGTGTGTAAATTTGGTTAAAAAAAAGTATGGTTTGCGCCATTCAATCATCTAACATTGAACCCCTTCAGCAAATGAAAACCTGTTCAGTCATGAAAGCTCTACAGACAGCCTGCATTGTATAAAGAATAATTTCCCCCTTTGGTAATGCTGCTTTTGTGTGACTTGGCACTTATCAGCCGTAATACAACCCTGACATTCACACACTTTCTGGCTTGAGGCCGGACACATACATATACGTGTCTGTGTGCTCACAATGCCTCTCAAAGTCCAAACGCTGTTCTCTTCCAAGAGTGTGAAATCACTGCCAGGCAAAGTCAGGTCATCCTTCCTAAACCAAAGCTGGATTTGATTCCAAAAAATGTGGTTTACGTTATTTATTTTGTCATGCACCTTCATGTGCTAAGGCATAGTGGATTTACGGTACAGGACATCAACAATTCAGTTGATCTGGGGAAAAAAAATTCAGACAGAGATTTTCGTTGTATTCACTGAAATCTTTGACCTTTGTTGAAATTGTCTTTCATATAAAAGGCTCTACACTGTAGCTGTGCATCACTAGCCAATATGTTTGTAATATGGGTTTGTAAGAACTCTTATACATAACAAAAATGTGCCTTTTGCATCTTGAATATTAGCCAAATGTATGATTAACTTCAGGGACGTGCACAGGTACGGGCTAATGTTGCCCGGGCAACGGCCCTTTTGCCATTTTTGCCTGACCTGCCCCTCTGGAGAGAGCAATAGTTTTTTTTTTTTTCTATTGTGGCCGAATCAACATGATAAGCCCACAATTAGTATTGTAGCGTCTCGCTGCGGGAAACACACCTTGTCCGCGCTGTCATCTGCCCCCAGTCACGTGACTTTGTTTACAATCTGACAGCTGGAAGCAAAGGAAAGCCCTCCGAGTCCAACCTCATATGGCTATGGTGATCACACCAAACGCCTGCCCTGGCTCCTGCCCGTTAGAGTAAAGGGGACAAACCAGGGGACTTTACTTCCTCTTGACACCGTCGGTTACTTACAAAAAAAACAGCTAAATATTTGCTATTGTGCTTCTGTCTTTCTGTGTCTTTTACTCCGCTCCGTGAACTCCCTCACCCTCGCTCTCTTTTCTTGATCGCCCTCTCACAGGAGAACACTTCACTGTCCCGCTTAATTGTAGGATTTCTGCCATGTCTCCACTTTAGCTTGATCATCTCTGTTATTAAGTTATGGAATTCTAAATAAATAAGTAATTAGATACCTTACCGTTACTACGCTCATAAAGAATGATAAGAATAATGCGTATTGAACTGGTTTAATTAATTAGTGAGTTTATTTAAGGTAATTATAGAAGCCCTATGTTATCAGTAGCCTATGTCTGCACAGCAGTAACAACGGTAAAACTACATTAAAACAGAATTGTCCCCATTGTTTCTTTAATAGTTACTAACATTAGATATTTTAATGAGACATGGACCGCAACAAAAAATGTGCCTGAATAACGAATTTAGCAGTTGGACATAAAAGTCAACTGAGTGTCACTTGCAATGACAGTGTTGTGTTTTTATTTTATGAGTTTATGTTAGAATTTTCAAAAGGTCTTTTTCGGGGGGGAGGCCCTTTTTCCAGTTTAGAGCAATAGCCCCTCCAAATGTCTGTGCACGTGACTGATTAACTTATTGCAGTGGTTAGCATTGTTGCCCAGTAACAATGTTTGTATTTCTGAAGCTCAGCCTTTTCTGTAAGTTTGCATTGTTTCCATCTTTACTCCCACATTTAAGAAACAAAACAGCTCAAGAATATGAATCGCTCATAGATATAAATGTAAGCTTAGTCTGCAAATCTGCCTTTTATAGGAACCTGTTCAGGGTATTTGTCTGCATGCAGTCAAGTGTACGCTGGGTCCAGGTTTTCACAACTGAAAATAAGATTAATCAGGAAGAAATAGAGAATTAAGAAATTATTATTCAGAAAATGAATTATATAATTTGGAGAAATACTAAGAAAAAGAGCAATGTTAATGTTTTGTATCCCACTCTATTTAGGCGTCAGTTGCTGGCAGAGCTGGTGGAGGATGAGAAGGTTGCCATGGAGATTGCCCGTCTAGAGGAGGAGTTTCTGCGTCTAACAGAGGAGAACCGCACACTGATGACTGTCCACAACGAGTGCGCTCAGCAGCTGGAGAGGCTCTGCTTACCCAATCAGACGAGGCAGGACTCCTCGTGACCTCTGACCTCCCGCAGAACCTGAGGCCTCCCAACATCCAGCTGACGCCAGGCAGGAAACCAGGCAGAAATAAAGGCTCAGCTAGTGCTCATTCAACACAAATACAGTCAGTGGTTCAGATAATTACACAGAAAGGTGCCGTGGTTATTCGTGAGTCATTTGTTTGAGATATCATCATCTGCTGTTGTAGTGATTCTACCAAGCTATGACACAAGGCCACTTTTCTGGATTGTGTTATTATGTGATCTTGCAGAACCTTCCTGGTTGTCATTGCAAATACCTTACAGTATATATTCATACTCAGCTGCTGTGAATGTGACCAGATCATCTGAAATCTGTCTCAGGTCCTGTGGAGACTCAGATCTTTTACCTGGGGTCTGTGGAGGTAGCATGAGGTGGTATGATGTGGTCCAAATGTTGTATTTTGAGGATTGTTCTCCCCCCCCCCCTGCTCCCTCTCTTCCACCTAGACAATTGCCCGTCAAGTTCCTGTTGTGATAAAAAGGATATGAGACGAGTGGTTTAAAAGTGTCAGGGACCGGGAAATAATAGCCTTTTGTGAGGAACAGTAAAAGAAGAAGGATGATTACGCTCATACGTTTCACAATGAGCATCTGCTGTGACACAACACTGTAAGAATTGTACATTTGATTGATGTAGCGTGTCTCATCCACCTGGGTATTATACAACAAGATTAAACGTTGATTATTGCCGGCGTCCATTATTAAAGTGAATTTTATTTTAACACCAGCATCAGTTCCTTAGTTTCATTTCCAGCGCTGTTGTGTTTGGTGTCTGCTTTGCGTCCGTATTGCAGTGCTTACATGGAAAAGGGAACTAGATTTTTTTCACGAGGAGATTAGCTCATTGTGGAATTATGAAACAGTCGCCGGATTGGCTAGTTTGACTCTGGTAGCCTTCCTTCTTCCTCCTTTGAATCATGTGACATTGGCAACAATGCTTTGTGGTGATGATTAGTCCACTTTATTTTTACCTTCAATGCCAGGAATCCTGGCTTTGAAGGTGTACGCAGAGAACTCACTTGTAATCATTACATGATTTTTCTGCCTCTAATAATCATGACCCGACCTTTTACAGTTTCTTGCACAAAAGCCTAAAAAATAAATCTAAATCTAAGAATGAAATGAGGACAAATACTGTGTACTCTTTTACAGCTGTTCATTTATTTGACTTCTGCAAGGAAGGCAGACTCATATACACAAAAACACATGACGGAGACTTGAACTGATCTCTTGGAAAGATTGCTGCTGCCTAGAAGAACAGCATAATATGAGAAGTACTGAGAAATGTTTCATTTTCGACTAGTAGCCTATAATTGCCTCCTTGTTCTTGCAAAAGTTCATTATCAGTTGTTTTTAACCCTCTGTTATCGCACCATCTGTTCACAAAATGCATTGTCTGAAATGAGTCGAGTTAGTCCACACTTACTCTGGACAAAAGACTAAATTGGACAAAAGACTAAATTGTGTTAAACACTTGGTTTATAATTCCAAACCCTTACTCTGAATTATTTGCTTGGTAAATCTATAAATGGCTTATCTGGGAAAAGCCCGTTATTTTCCCAGACAGATCTAAGGGTGCGATTGGTACGGACAGGAAAACTGCTTGCTCATCCCATATCAGCAGGAGTGCATGAGTCAGCGCTGGCTCTGTTCCACCCAGAGTTGTTGCGACATAGCCTACACACACAAGCACACACTCCCTCTTTCTCCCCCTCCCTCCCACATACTCACACACAGGCCATATGACTGAGTCAAGCTCGGATTTTAGTTTGTAGCAGAGTTGTGATAAGACTTTCTGAGAACCGTAGCCCGGTCTGACGGCATTCCATTTAGAAATAACCATGTGTGCTCAGAAGATGGGACTTTCTTTAACACTTCTCTAAGAAAGCTGGATATATAAAGGCAGCATTGAAAGGTTGGTATGTTTTTTTTATGTTTTACCTTTTATGTATCCCAAATAAGGGAAAATGGTTAACTGTAACAGTGTGTGTTTGTGTGTACATATAGATGTCTGTGATGGCTGCTCCACGGTCGTCTGTGTTTACATTTGAGTCTGCGGTGCATTCCTCCCATGTGCTGAGCCGCCTGGACGAGCAGCGTCGCCGGGACACGTTGTGTGATGTTACCGTGGTGGTGGAGGGCCACAGTTTGAGAGCCCACCGCTCAGTGCTCGCTTCCTGTAGCGAGTACTTCTCACACAGGATTTCCTCCCTCACACAGCATGGAGCTGTCATCAGTCTACCACAAGAGGTGAGAGGACACCTCAAGATACATAAAGTAACGTAGAGAAAGTGAAAAACACAAGCCGTGCTGCCAAACACACCCCTGTGTGAATGTGAAGTGAGAAGTATGATGAATGGTTCATTTCTTCAATAGTGTTGATGGTAAATAGGCGGACTAGATTTGTTGAACCTGTGACATTTTAGTATGCTGTTTAGTGTAAATACTACTATGACACACACTTGACTGACTGCAGTTTTCCTTCAAAATGCTTTTTTTATTATTGTGGTTCTTAGTGGTTTCCTGCAGAGATATTTAAGTACAACATATATTCCCAGTGGGTCTTAAGCAATGATACTAAAGTTAGAAAGAAAAACAACTAAGATAAAAAGAAAAATAAGCAGAAAAGTGTTCTACCAATTTGATCTGCAAGAGGAAACCGCTGGCTCGATAACAAAGCTATTTTAATTAGATTTTTCAGTGTTTTCTATTATTCCACAAGTACAGTGTTTCTTTCACAAATTGAATTTGCATTTGCACAATTCTTTAATACACTGGTATTCAGCTTCTTGGTAAATGCAAAAGCCACTGAAAAAAGATAGAAAATAGATTATTGTTTACATGTATTGGTTGTTGTGTCAGTAAAATCTTACAATCCTTGGCCTTATTTCACAAAACATATCTGGTCAGAGAAGCTTTATTTCCCTGGCTTACTGGCATATTGTTGCCTTCTGACAGAACATATTATATAATTATGTATTGCTATCCTTGAGAAAGATAATGCTCATTTATATTGCTTGTCCTCTTTCACAGGTGACAGTTGCTGGCTTTGAACCTTTGCTGAATTTTGCCTACACATCCAAACTTCTCTTCGGGAAAAACGATGTCTTAGAAATACGCAATTCAGCTTCCTTTCTTGGTTTCAGAGACCTAGACGAGTCATGCTTTGATTTCCTCCTCCCCAAGTTCTTCTCCAGTAATGACTCTGCCCCTTTCCCGAGAAAGACCTGTTGTAAGAAGATATGTAAGAGACAATTATTAAAGGAAGACATTGACTCTGACCGTGTTTTGTTGAATGAGAAAGAAGTAGAACCAGTTGATGACTCACTATGTACGCAGGAAGTGGCTTGGCACTGTAACAAATCAGTGAACAACAAAATGGGAAGTCTGAACAAAGCAAGCACTCTTCCACCTGAAGCTGAAGGGACCAACATTGAATATACGCAATGTCCAAAGTATCGCAAGTTCCAGCTAGCTTGTTGTAAGGAAAGTTGTGTCACAGATAAAAGTCTGAACAATCCTGCAACAGTTATCAGGGACACCTGGGACCTCTCCTGCTCGCCCCCCTCCAGCAGTGCTAAGAGCAAAAAAGAAGCTGATGTTGAATTCCCTCATATTTCCACCTCAAATTCCACCACACAGAGCGAAGGAGGGGCTGATGAGCCATGGAAAAATGACAAGAAAACAGAGAATGGTGGGGAGGTTGATGTGATTGAGAAAGACACACATGAAAGGCAACACAAATGGATTAAGAAGGAGAGAGAGATGAATGTGGGGGAAGAGATCAGCTCTTCAGACAGATCCACTGTCAAGGAAGTCTCTTCAGGGTCAAGCACATCGCTGGGCGAGAGGTCATCAGGGTTTATATTGAACCATTGCCCCCTGAAGACCTTTGTTGAAGCCCCTGCAATCACTCTGTCACAGGGGTTTGTCGTGGACATTACAGAGGGCAAGAAAACAAATAACTCTGGTGCACTGCCGCCAGTATCCATTTCCCATAAGGCAGAGGAACAGGTTGAAGCTGAGGTAAAAATGGCAGACGATGAGATAGATTTGGGCTGGCAAGACAGAGGCAGGATGGAGAGAGTGACCCTATCAGTAGATAATGCCAGAGAAAGGAGCACAGAGGAAAGGGAGATGGCCGAGCACCTGGCGAGGAGGCTGGGGTCCGACGTGGAGCCTGATGCAGGAAGTTCCTCCGATACAGGGAGCGGACAGGCACAGAGCAAGTCTTTAGAGTGGAGTAAGTGCCACAACATCAGCTCCACAAGCACCAGCTGTCCCTTTTTCCAGGATCTGGAGCAAGGCAGGTGTGTATGGAAGGGAGCAGAGCTGTCTGAGTGCGAGGGGGGCTCTCAGTCAGGTGTGTCATCCTTCAACTCGGGGGAGGATGGAGAGTGGGAGACGGAGACAGAAGGAGACAGTGAGGCCTACGCAAGAGAGCGGGCCAGACAGGTGAGCGGTTAAACCATGAATCAAGTCTGCCTTTTCTCTACAGATCTGCTCTGTTCTTTGATATATGTATATGCTTCCTGCTGACACCTAACTGGGAAGTTCATGTGCTGAAAATAGTCTGTGTCAGTAAACGTCAGCAAGCTCACCCCCACATGTAGATACATTCACTATGTTTGCTTGAACAGAAAGCAGAATCACTTAAGTGCCAAGTTAATTATTCACCAAGTTAATGATGTGTGTGTGTGTTTACTTGTGTTTGTTGCGACGGTGTGCATAATTAGCTCAGAGTCCAATGCATGAAATTGACAGCTCAGCCCGTTGAGTTAACAATGATCACGCACAAAGGACAGGTTTGAGGAAACTCATGTTTCTGTACAGAGAGGTTGAACAAAGCTGAGGTCACTTCACAGGAGAAACCAAGCTTGTATTTACTCTAGATAAAACACTACATGATTGGTACTGCTCCAATATACCAGCGAGTGTACATTTCCTGTCACACATTGTCCAGAAGCAATAACCCAGCACCCAACCTCTGCCTATACAAGTTATCTCCAAGTAAATGATTAACATCTTGGTAAAAAATTAACATGACTGTATTTTAACTCTATATTAATTCCCTTCTTTTGAGCGATAACAGCTCCATGCATCTGTTTGATCATTACATATTTGTATTCATAGTATTTTAATTCAAAGGATGATTTCCTAAGATTTCAAGTTGACAATGATAATTAGGCCTTATGATGTCAATACAACCAAATCAAAGCTGTTTCTACAACCCTGCTGCTGGGTGTTTGTACCACATTCCCATGTCTTCTAAAGTGTGACATGCAATATAGGATTGATTTTGCTCCATCTTTCACATACTCTCTTGTGAAACCTTTATTTCCTGTTTGCGTGTCCTCAGGTGCAGTTGCCATTCTCTGTAGAGTGGATTGTTGATCTGAGCAGAAATGACTTCCAGCAGCTGCTGAAGCAACAGGTCTTTACCCGAGAACAGCTGGAGTTTGTCCACGATATGAGACGCCGCAGCAAAAACCGCCTCGCAGCTCAGCGTTGCCGCAAGAGGAAACTAGACTGCATATATAATCTGCAGTGTGAAATCAACAAACTGGTAAAAAAAACGAAAAACCTTCTCTTGAAATCTGCAGTTACTTTCCAATCCGCTTCTTGTGTATTCATTTAGATTGCATGTGCTGCTTGTGTGTGTCACAGAAGACAGAGAGGGAGACACTGATGACGGAGAAGAGCCATCTGAGCCAGATGAAGTCCAAAGCGTGTCACAATGTCTCTGCATTATGCCAGAGGGTCTGCAACGAAGCCAACCTGCAGCCGGAGCAGCTCCAGGTGTTGGCCAAATACAGTTCCCCGGACTGCCCTCTGTCCTCTCTCTCTACTCACATGGACCCTCTCTTCTCACAGCCTGGGCTGCTCCTCCAGCCTCATGCTGTACGGTCAGATTGTCTTGTTGGCCACGATGAGTATATGGCGTCTGATGAGGCTTCCAGCTCCAGAAAGGATACACTCACCAGAGATGATCATCATTCGCTTTAGATACAGCAAAAACCAATAGGGTTGATTATGATGTCAAACTAATGATTCAATGATTCCCTACCTATCTAAAGACTTGACTGCAGACTTTGGACTGAGGACAGGCTGTTTTATAACGCAGTGGCATACTTTTGATACATTTATATTGAGTGGTTGCAATCAACGAACATTGTAATTAACTCCTGCTACCCTTTTTTTAATTGAAAACACAAGTGTTTAATTGTGAGGTCAGGAATGCATTCCAGGTGTCCAAAACTATTCATTTTACTTTGACACCAATGATAAGTCTGATTACATGTAGAGCAAATGTTTCACCCTTGGCAAACCGCTTATCAGACTTTGTTTTCCGGTGAAAGCTGATCGGTACCTGCTCACAAATAAACCCAGCCAGGGTGCAAGTTGAGAATGTTAACATTTTAGCACTAAGACACTAATCATAATGAAAGGAAACAATGGTCTCTATATTTATAGTGGGCTTCATTGCTTCATATCTCAGGAAATTGCACTTCATCCTTATACATAATTAATTTCCTTTCTTAAAACTCTAAAGTGTTTTATACAGGCTCTCAGGTGTTAATAGGAAAACTCAGCAACAATACCTCTTGCACACAGTGTGGGTTAGGCCCTCTCCGTGGAGAGAGCAACACACAACAAGATTTTGCACACAAACCAGACAACTGTCATTGTGGTTGTCCAACCGCAGTGACATGGCTCTTTTAGGTTGCTCACAGCATGGACTCACTAAAACAAACCTTCTAATGTGCTTAAATGTGTTTAAAATGCTGTCTAAAGAAAGTGCATCTTAGCAGAACTTTTAAATACGAACAAAAAAACACTTTCAGGAGAAAAGCTGCTTCACTCTGTCTAATGAAAATCATTCCCATCATTCTTCCCACATTTCCAGTTTGTCCTGAATTGCGGCAGGATTGTGTGTAACAACCATTTTTAAATAACTCTCAAGGTCAATTTTACGTTTATATTTTGTGTCTCAAAGCACAATTATTTATTATTGTTTTGCATTCCATGCATTACTCAGCGTTTCTGCTGACTTCCACCTATAACGTTTGACCTATTTTCTCCCCGCTTAGTAGATATTGACACTCAGGATTATTTACAGCAAACCAGCTTCACCACTTCCTCATGATCTCATTTCACTGTATTATATGTGCATATGTTTATTTTTGTACTCTTGATCACACTCAGTGCATCTAGCCTCAAAATGATTTGTGTCTAATGTGAACTAATACAGCAATACAAAAATTACATAAAGGGTATGTGAGGAAATTCTGACTAACAACATTATATTTTTGAAGACAGTTGGGCGCTGTTAAATGTCCTCAACAAAAGAATGTTTTGTTGTGTTGCATGATAACGCTGGTGCTTATTGCCCTCTAGTGGCAGTACTGCTACAGTCAAAAGATTGTTAAGACTGTTCATTTATTTTAAAAGCACAAAAAAGGACTGTATATATCTAAAAGGATTTTTATAAACAAAAGTTAAACAAAACCAATCAACAATAAAACAGAAAAATAAACAGTTAATGGTGTTTGTTATCATGCCCAACTTGTGAAGATGCAGTGTAATTGAAAAACCATCTGCAAGGTTAATGAGATGTAGAATCTGTCAGTGTTCAGAGTGAGTGATGAATAGCTGAGCTCCTAAGGTCCTCACAGGACTCATCTTTCAACCTGGACGGATGTGTTCATGATTTAATACTTCACTTTCATGTTTTCTGAATCTCAGTCACTTAGCTTAGTTTCATCTTTATTACTTTGAAGTTTTCTCCCTCTTTCTCCCTCTTTCTTCACTCCCCCTCTTTCCCTCTGTCTCTCTCTGGAGGCTATTTTAATTATAGAAGGACTGTTATTTCATCTCTCAATTTTCTTTTATGGGAGCAAACATAACGTAATACTCCTCAGATGATTACGAAACTGTACTAAGATCTGTAATACACAGCAATGTTGGTCATTTTCAGAGGCTATTAATGAACTTATCATAAGGAGAGAATGAAAGTATAACCCAAGGGGGTAAAGGTCACGCAGGTTAACTTTGCCTAATGGATTATGGCACTGGGCAGTGGGAACCGAGGGTCGCTGAGGTCCCAGGGCTTAAAAATGACAAAAACAGCCCAATGGAGGAGGTCATTAGCTTTGGAAAGCATGAGTTCACGCGCTGTAATTAAGTTTAAACCAGTCATCCTCAAGTGGCTGCACTTCACTCATGGCTGCATGTGTTTCTACTGCTAAAGCCCTCAGTGTTCATAGTTGTGTTTTTCCTTTATAAATGAGGAAACTTAGGAATTGTTTATCATTTGAACTTCATTCAAATGTCACTATTATAGCAGCCGTCCTTCCGCCATGGGGTCATGGGCATCGAAGTAATTGAAATGATTTATTTTTTGATATATTATTTTTGGGCAGAGAAATTGGTGTTGTCCTGCATTTGACAGGACCTTGTCACCATGTCCTGAGGCCATGCATCTTGTTAGCCAAGCTTTCAGTAGATATACTAAAACAATAAAGGAGAGGTTAGCTGAGCCTTCTGCTCATTCGCCGGCGCCTCTGGAACTCCCTCCCGATCAGCTGAGATCTGCCCCTTCCACGAGGTCTTCAAAACCGGCCTTAAGACCCTCTTCTTTCGGCAGGCCTGCCAATAAACTTTGAGCATGGTACACCTGGAGTACTGCCATTTGTATCGCTATCTCTGACTTTAAAAAAAAAAAAAAAATTATTTTCTTTTTATTATTATTTTTTTATTATTATTACTATTATTTGTTTAATCTCTCAAATTGTATCAGTGTCCTTTGTTGTGAAGCACTTCGAGATTTGTCTTGGCAGATGAGAAGCGCTATATAAATTAAATGTATTATTATTATTATTGATGTCGCCAGGGAAAAGAAAGTTTGGGGCTCTCTGCTGGAACTGCTACCCCCGCGACCCGACCACGGATAAGCGGGAGAAGATGGATGGATGGATGGATGGATGGATGGATTATTATTATTATTATTATTAGCAAATAAATATCAACAGAAAAGGAAAAGGGAAGGTTGTTTCGAATCAATCAGCATCAGAAACTTGAAGTGAATAAAATGCCTGCGGTGTTACTAATGTGTCAACAGATGGCACCAGATGAGCAATTTCTGATGGTGAGGAATCTTGATCAGATCAGATCATTTCTCTTCTATCATGTTGAGTTATTGCTGCTTTTATTCTGTTATATTCCAGATGACTGTTGGTCTCGATGTCTTGGCTGATTGTGTTTTGATCTAATAGAGAGTCATCTGATCTGATATAAGTCAATTCCCTCTGTAACATATTTGAAAGGCATTCAAAACTGACCAATTTATTACGTTTGCTTCTGTTCAACTGCATGCAGATTTAAGTATTGGAAGATGGAATTATTGATTTTTCTTCCATCTCATTTTATTTCTTGCTACCTGCTTCTTCCTCATCACTCTCCGTCTCTGTCTCTCATTTTCTCGCCGTCCCTCCCTCCCAGAGAAAATGTGGGCGTTTTTCTGTAGGTGGTTCTCTGGCAGAGCCTGAGCTCTATAAGGGAGCACAATATGTTGGGCTCGTAATCACAGTAATGAACAGTTAGATCTGTGCCAGTTGTTTTCATAGGAAGAGTTAACAGACCAAAACTTACAGAAGATTGTCCCAAATTGAAATGAGAAGTTTTAATTGAAGTGTTGTTTTAATTACATCTTTTGAAACGTAATTAACATTCTAAAACATTGAAACCCACTGACACAACTTCATCAACATTATGAAGTATGGGGTGATCTTGTTTTTTAGAGAATTTTTAGATCAGTTAATGGGTTGTTGGTGGTGATGTCTTTAATGTGAGCCAAGAGCGGACGACCAAATCTAATCCCTCAGGCAGAGAGTAATCCACGCAGTCATGGGGCTTCCTAATGAGGACCTGAGAGCCCTTGATCACACACACACACACACACACACACACACACACACACACACACACACACACACACACACACACACACACACACACACACACACACACACACACAACACACACACACACACACACACACACACACACACACACACACACACACACACACACACACACACACACACACACACACACACACACACACACACACACACACACACACACACACACACACACACACACACACACACACCTATCTCTTAGAGTAAAAGCTTACTGCAGTGATCATAAGGCTCTAAAATTGGTTGTAGAGCTGGCAATGGGCAACATTCAATATGATATGTTTTCCTTTTTTCCTTTGAACTGTTATATTTATTATATTGAGATATGGTGATTACATCGTCTGTAGTGATAATAACACCGAAAACAACTAGAATTTCACAGAAGAACTGATATGAAATATATAGATTCAAGTTATATTTTTCAGTGCAATTTTACAAGTTCAATGTGATTAATAGTCTCCAACCTTAGAGTGACGAGCTCTCTTCTCCAACCTTTTAACTGCCATTAATCCAAAATACAGTAAAGCAAACACCATGTGGTTATTTCATATAGACTATTTATTTATTCACCTGTCAAAACATGCAATATCTTGATAAATATGGCTATCATATTACTTATGCTGTATCTTGTTGCATATCACATTGTATTACATGAGTTACAAAAAGAGGGACATGTGTAAAATGTGTTAATGTATTTGTCATTACTTCACAATAAATAACAAACACGAACAATCCACAAGTGGTGGTTAAAGGTGTGCAGTTTACTTTTGATATAAAAAAGTTGATTATCTGATACAAAGTAATTTTCTCCACTGAATGTGTGTGTGTGTGTGTGTGTGTGAGACAGAGAAAGATAATGCAGTTCTCGCTACAATAGTGTAACACCAGGCTGATGTCACATGATGTCACACACCCTCATGATGAGCCAAATTAACACTGTGAAATTGTAATCAGGTGAAGAAGACATTGTTTAATTCTATCAGGCCCTAATGTGCATGCTGTGCATTACTTCCAATAAATCACTCAATAACACATGACACTTTTGAGATCACTCTTATAAATACTGTGCTAACCCTGTGGACCAACAGCTGCTGTAAGAAACAATGTAACGAAGGTCATACAAGGTACAAGTCTTCTCTGTCTTAAGTTACAATGAAAAAAAGACAACAGGGGGTTCAACTAGCCTGCCCTTAGTGGGATTATACAAAGATGCAAGGTCACAAATGGAGGAAAACAACTTTAAATAATGACAATAACTTGTTGGATGATCGAAAAAAGTACTATAGTTCTCTGGGCGTGTAGATGACTGTACACAAATCACATCATGAGAGAAGATCAGGAAAAGAGACTCAGAATTGTTCAGTATCAGAAACAAAAACAAATTATGGAAGCGAGTGGGAGAGAAGAAAATATGTAGTTACAAAGCAACAAGGACATGGAGAGAGGAAAGATCTCGTTGCCTGTGTGGGTGTGTGTGTGTGTGTGTGTGTATGTGCGTGCGTGTGCATTTGTGCCTGCATGGTTGCGAGTACAGCGAGAAATAGCTTCACATGGATGTTCGAGGATACCCATAAGAAATTATCTAGTTACCATGGATACAGAGGGTTAGGCTTTGGCAAGTGAACTCATAATAAAGTCCAGGAGACATCCAGACAATCAACACAATTCTCCTTCAGATGAAGAAAGATAACACATGCACAGATAAAAAACATTTTGAACAGATGAAGAAGAAACAGAAATCACTTTGCAACCAGACAGAGTAATTATGGCAGCAAACCACTGTCTTCCATTAGAAACAAATGTTGAATACTTCAACTTAAACTGCTCCACGGGAACCGCCCACCGGACAAAAACAAGTTTAACTAGTCGAGCTCCAGGATGATTGTTTTGAACTCTCCCTTTCGTTAATCTCAATCACACACAATAGTCAGTTGTAGAAAATATGTCAAGCAGAATATCAGCTTTGCATTCACAATGGTTAACTGTAAATAACTTAAAATCAAAAATATATGTGCAAAATTCACTTGCATACAAAGTCAATACTGCTTTCATGGCTCTGACAGAATAATGTTAAAGTAGGTCTGTAATGGCGCATTTCCACTGCAGCGGGTAGCCCCGTTTAAGCGTCCTTAACCGTCCTCAAGCGGCCAGGCCAGTTTTTGGTGGCCTTTCCATATAGCCTAGTACCGGCTAGCGGGTACTTTTTCCCTCTTTTTCCGGCCCCATAAAATCGTGGTTCTATCAGACCAGGGCCAGGGCTGAACTAGTGACGTCAACACTCTCGACTGCTGATTGGTCAGAGAGAATCGTCACAAGATCGCGCGCGAGTTCATCCCAAGCGTCGCATATATATTTAGAAGCAAGCTTGCAGCATTTTTATAAACAGCATTTTGTAAACGGATGAGCTACAAAAATGGCTACGTCTAATAAGAAAAGCACACCGTGGTCGACCGAGGAGGTGACGACGTTCCTACATCTCATTGGGGATGATCAAATCCAGCGGGAGCTCGACGGAACAACTCGAAATGTGAACAAAAACAAAGCCGATCGCCCCGCCTACACTGCGTTGCTACCCCAGGTCCTAAACTGTAATGGAAATGCGCCACGGCCTCGGACGGCCAGCGAGGCAGCCCGAGGCCTGAGCGAGGACGCTTAGGGACGCTTAAACGGGGCTACCCCGTTGCAGTGGAAATGCGCCATTAGTCACCCACACTGTTTCTTTTCACCATGTTTAGATAGAGGTGAATGTAAACAGATGGGGAACAGCAACACAATCAAACTGTCTGGAAATGATGAAGAACCAAGAAACAAGACTCCAGTTTTCAGTGTGTAATTACTGCACGTCGGGTATGTTGGGAGCAGTTTGTTAAGTTTGGGCCGGCAGGTTGTGCGACAGTTGCCAGTCTTGTTCCAAGTACACTGTTATAAGAAGAGGGTGTCGACCACCTAATAAGAACTGCCAAAAAAGGCAAAGTTGACTGTTTGATACTTTCAATCATCATGCCAAAGAACATAGAGGTGACACGTGTGGGTCTGCCATTCTTGAAACCAAGAACTCCTGAGTCCATGTGATTTCCTTTGTGAGCTCTGGTTCTCTGTACCAAATGAAAACCTTTAACTTTGGTTTGGACCAACGAAGCCACATTGTACTGTTGATACTTCTTTGGAAGACTGTGCCTGTCCCTCTTTGTCCTTCTGTTGTCTCTCCATTCATTATTTGGAGCATCCAGAGCAGCTCATGTGCTTGTTGGAGTCGAGCTGAGGTGAGATGGTGTCTGGTACCACACTTTTCAGGATGTCATTCTCTGTGGCCATGATGTGCTTGACAAGGAAGTTTGCAGCTTCGGCAATGTTGAGATTGTCCTAAAAAAGAGAGAAAATTGTTGGTTTTTGTTTGAGGGGGAAGGTGTGGTTTTTTACATGCCATTTTGAAAAAAGGGCGTGAGGTGAGAGTGGCCTTTAACAAAGATTTAGGTACTGTGGCCAAATTAATGAACTGTTTCTTATGGGAGGTGTGTGTGTGTGTGTGTGTGTGTGTGTGTGTGTGTGTGTGTGTGTGTGTGTGTGTGTGTGTGTGTGTGTGTGTGTGTGTGTGTGTGTGTGTGTGTGTGTGTGTGTGTGTGTGTGTGTGTGTGTGTGTGTGTGTGTGTGTGTGTGTAATTGGTTGCAGCTATTACAAAGTTGTGCATGTTTTTCTAATTGCTACCAAAGGAAAACACTTGTGTCTGCAAGCATAGCGCCTGTCTCTGACACTACTGGCTGAACGTGAACCTTATTAACCTTTGACCTTTTGAGAATGTTGAGTCTTGATGTCACATGAGTGACAGTGCACTTATGCTCTCCAAAACAAATTAGTGTCAGCAGAAGCTTTGTTAATAAAGACTTTTGTAGAATGTATAGCCATGTTTAAGTACTGCAGAGTTTTTTAGCTATAAAGAAGTAGGCTCATTCAAATGATTGTGCATCTCAGATATTATATCCTGTTTTACCTAGACAAACAAACACTGTACAGAAATGATTAGTTCAGACATAACATTTTCTATTCTAGTCAAGAAAAACTAGTTTAGTGATTAAATAACTTGTCTTTACTTGGTAACAGAATAGATGGACTTTTTAAACACCACACAACTCTGACCCTGCTTTATAAATGTATTTCAGAGAGACACTTTCCACCAGGATATGAAATTCCAGCGGGCTCTATGGGGATGTCTCTGACTGCAGTGACCTGAGTGGGAGAGGGTCTCCACTGAGTGTGTCAAGGACTACCATCCGAACCATTCATTATAATGTAGATGATTAGAGCTATGCTTCAACATTTTGGGATGTTGTCTCTTTTGCATTCTTGAGTTGCATAAGAAGATAGATACACTCATGTCAAATATTACGTAACTATAGCGTCGTCTTAGCTTAGCAATAAGACTGGAAACAGGGGTGAAAGCCATTCTTGCTCTAGAAAATGTAACAATCGTCAACAAAGATTGGTGGTTTAACATTTTTACTTTTGGTGCATATTAAATAAGATATGTGCTTTGTTACGTTAAGACAGAGGCTTGCCATGTCCCCTATTCCCATTTATAATGCCAAGCTAAGCTAATTGTCGACTGACTCCAGGTTCATTTTTACCTGACAGATTTATAAGTGGGTTTAATTTTAACAGCTAATTATTATCAAGGAAGTTGATAAGAGTATTTCCTATAATGGGAAAGCATTCCTTTAACTACAAATGCCCAGGACCGGCAGGAATACATTTAATTTCACACATTGCAACCAAGAATACCTTCAGCATACTCTGATCTCACCTTAGCTGATGTCTCAAACCAGCCAACAAAGCCATGGTCCTTGCAGAACTGGTCCATTTTGATGCTGTTGTTGGTCAGCTCTCTTCCCTGGTCGCACTTGTTAGCCAGAAGCACTGTGGCAATGCTCTGCCCGTTATTCAGCATCAGTTTGGAGTCCAGGTCCTCTTTCCATTTGAGGACGGCTTCAAAGGTCGTGGGCCTGGTCACATCGCACACTATGAAGGCTCCCATGGCTTCACGGTAGTATACTCTTGTCATGTTTCCAAAGCGTTCCTGACCTGTGATAAACAAACACAAAGGGGGCTTCATTGATAAGTGTTGAAAAACTGCTGTTTCCTGGACACCAGTTTAATGACAGATTCATGATTGTTTCGCTTATTTTTTGCAGCAAAACAGCTAATGCAGCTGGCATTCGGACTGCAGTTAGCACAGCCTGCATTCCCACAAAAACAGCACATTCCTGTGGTCTTTCTGTCACGTTGCTCTTAACCAGATGGTCAATGCAACTGCTTGTGCCTGCTGATAATAGGCCTACTTAAATTAAACCTGCATTTTCCCTGACCTGTCATAAAAACTAACTTTGACCCAGACTAAAACGGTATTAAAACAATGTATTTGTAAGAATATAACAATGTGAAATATCTTTGTGGAGATACGCGTGTTTGCGTGTTCATTAATGTGTGTATTGTGCAGGGGATGGAAATAAGTTGCTTGAGGGGCAGGTTAGAAAAGCTGTCAACATCACATTTCCCAGGGGGTTGTGTTCTGCTGTCTAATGTGAATACTTGTTGGTCCAAACTGAGTGTGTAGGCATTTGCATTCAGCTTGTTTTACATACCATGCCCTCTCAGCAGAAAAGTTTACACTGTTAATAAATATATACGCTCCAGAGTCCACTTTTGGCTTTGCTAGAGATACTTCGACAAGACAAAATGCTTCTATTTGCCTCATGAGTAAGAGAGGAAATGGAAAAACTGACAGTACGTGGATTGAGAACTTCCTCCTTTTTTGCGAAAAAATGTATCAAAGACTGTTATTGCTCACAAGGAACCCTCATGGACAGCGGTGTGACAGCAGACACACACGTCACACATATCACTTGATACCAGGCCCGGTTCCAGAACAAAATGACTCAGGGTGCATCTGAGATTAGAGAGAGTGCAGTGGTAAAGTGCTATTTTTACAAGTGGGGAGTGGACCTAACACCCCAGGGGTGGCCAACCAACAGAGGTAAAGAGCCAATAATCTTCCTGTGTTACTGCAAAGAGCCACATCATACAGTACACAGGCACACATGCTGGGTGTATGTCCCCCGACCTCTCTCTCTCTCTCCTTCTCTCTTTTGCTCTCAGCCTTTCTGTGTGCTCCCTCACTCTCTTCCTCTATGTGCCCCTCTCTATCTCTCACACATACAAAATGAAAATCTAAAAATGAACAATAATTGACACACACACACACACACACACACACACACACACACACACACACACACACACACACACACACACACACACACACACACACACACACACTCACATACAGAAACACATACCTCCGCTCAGCCAGATTTCCTATAAATGTCACAGTCCATGATATTGACAGAAATGGACTTAAACCTCTCCTACCAGTATTAAAGGTGGGGTAGGTAAGTTTGAGAAACCGGCTCGAGATACACTTTTTGTTATATTCCATGGAATGCTCTTAACATCCCGATAGCAATGAATATCTTAAGTGCTTTGACAAAAACTCCATTAAAAAATTTCATCTGTGGAAGCCGTGGTAGGCCTACTGTAAAAAGCACGACCAATCATTTGAGCCGGCCCGGCTAAAATAACTGGATGGTCTACCTGCCTGTTAGCCTTCCATCTGTGCACAAACGTAGGCTATCTCGTGCCCTCATTGGTCATGTGCGCGTTCGTGTGTGTTGGAGGAGGGGCTCTGTAAGGAAGTAGCAGATTTTTTCCGGCTGTGTATTTTCAAATTCTAGCGCACTCGAGCTGGTTTCTCCAAAATTACCTACCTGACCTTTAAGACCAGAGGCCAGTTATAGTTAGGGTTGCCAACCGTCCCGTATTAGCCGGGACGCCCCGTATTTGAGCCAAAAGGGGCGTGTCCCGTACGGGACTTTGTTTGTCCCGGACTCCCGTGTAAAGGGAAAAATAAAAAAAATGTTTCTGTTTGCGCAATTCAGTGCGTGTTTGTGTGCTGTATGCGAAGGGCGCTACCGCTCAGTTGACAGGGCAGGCACAATGCTCGCACGAGTGTGTGTGTGTGTGTGTGTGTGTGTGTGTGTGTGTGTGTGTGTGTGTGTGTGTGTGTGTGTGTGTGTGTGTGTGTGTGTGTGTGTGTGTGTGAGATTTTCTCCGGTGGGCGGCGGGTGCGGCATCATTGTTTGTGTGGCATGTCAGCCTGTTCAGTCGTGTGGGAAAATGAGCCTTGCCGGTGGAGGAGGTGATAATGAAAAAGGAGAAGAGAGAGAGGATGTGGTTCTGGGCCCTGGCCCTTCTAAAAAGAAAAGACTTGTGTCTTACAACAAACAGTGGGAAGAAAAACACAGTTGGGTAAAGCCCGTGAGTGGAGATCTGTCTCGGGTCTTCTGCACCTTGTGTCGGAGGGAGTTTTCAATAGGTCACGGTGGAGAAAACGACCTGAAACAGCATGCTGGCACAGAAATGCACAAGCGAGCAACACAAAATAAAGGTGCATCAAATATAACTAAATTCTTCGGCAGTTCAACTGCAGAACAAGACAAAGTTGCTGCATGTGAGGTAACATCAGTGTATCACACTTTTAAGCATGGTTTGAGTTACAACAGCATGGACTGCAGTAATAAGCGGGCAAGTGCCATGTTTAGTGATTCGCTCACTGCAAAGAAAAAGCAATGTGGAAGAACAAAGGCTGAGATGATAACAGCTAATGTGCTTGGCCCCAAAACTGTTCGGGATATTCTAAAGAGCTGTGTCCTCCTCTCACCGAGGTCGCAGCAGGTGAGGAGGTGGAGTAACTAAAAAAGTTCGGCCAGAAACCCGAAAATGTGTCCCGTTTCTCCATTTCTGGAAGTTGGCAACCCTAGTTATAGTCAACCATTAATATTGTGTCTCACACACACAAACTCTCAGTTCAAAACATTTGAAAAAAGTTGTTATCTTACTATGCATGTTGCTTCTTGAAACGTGCAGAGGATGTGGAAGGGGCTCAAATGCATGAAAGGGCACATTTGCGATCTTTGCGACTTTTTTCTCCCTGTCTGTAGGCCTATCTCACACACAGATTCATGACAGTTATTTAAAAATAAATGTAAATAAATGAAGTGTATTTTTGTTAATTCTCCTCACATGACATCTCAACTTTTACCTAACCCTCTGACTGACAGAAGCTCTGCTGACAGAGATGCACTTTCTCTCTTGTTTAGTTCTTTACCGCGAATCACCAAATTCGGGAGCCCTTCTGTGCCAGCTGCCAGCTTTCCGGGAGCAGGCCTTCTCACAAACACATATACCACCAGTAGCGTGGCGTGGGGAAAAATGTAGGGGAAGCCCATTTTTTGGGTCGGGGGGGTGGTCAATAACGTAACCAGATGAGTGATTACAGCACCCGGTATCATTTTACACAGATTTGTATCACACAGATGCAGGACTTGCACTCGCCTGTTATCTAACCGAAAGGTCCGCACGCACTCTCCAGCTGAAACTCTCCTTATTAATTTAAGCATTTTACTTATTAATGTATGCAGACAATAACACAATCTATGTGATTTTTGGATTTACCGTGCCTCTCAATTGCCCGTGACAGGTTGGCAAGGTCGATGAATCCTGAAGTTGCCCAAGGATTGTTCAGGGAGCACGAATCCTTGTCAAAAAGAAGACATGGCCAGCAAAATAGACGCTGAAGTTTAGCGCTTCCAGTTAGCCACTCCGTGCGGACATAATTGTCCTCATTGAACGTCCGATTCTCTCCCTTTTACCTCTGTGTACACACAGCTCGAGTGCGGGCATTGGCCTGTCATCTGATTTAATTTTCAGTTGCTGCTGTAGCGGAAGTTTAGTAAAGTTATGTTTGATTAAGTACGCCAAATCTCCACCCTCCATAATGCTTCATTTGCTTGATAATTTCTAACGGCGGTGATGACAGTTACAGTATTAAAACTGATGTTGATGTGATTTGATTGGATGGCAGTGTCCAATCAAATCGCCAGCCGCCAGCCGCCTCTGAAGGGAAGCAAGAGGCGGCTGGCTTCCCTTGGCATGGCCCTGTCCAATCACAGGTTGGCAGGGGCATCACGTGGGCCTCATCTGATTGGTCAATACCTCCATTTTTTTTCACCAAGGGAAACTAGATTCGGCTGGCCTCCTCTCGCAACAGTGAGTGCAATCTACTGTTTCACCATAACATCTAGAGGGGCGCTGTTTGTTTCACTCTTTGTAAAATACTCAATGAGAATGGGGGAGCGACGGGCCGGCAGCAACATACAGCAAAGGAGAATTATCGAAACAAAACAGTGTTTTTATTTATTTATTTAAATTATAACTACAATCCAAAAAAACAAGGGAAGCCTGGCTTCCCTTGGCCTCCGGGAGAAAACGCCACTGTATACCACTGCAAATTGTTACCATTTTGATTTGACAACATTATATTGAGTTATTACGGTTTTATCTGAGTTATATTTCTGCCAATCGGAAGCAGATCTCTCCCTTCACTGTCACATCGCGAGTGCAGTAAAGCCCACCTCCAGTACTGCAGGATCTGCATTCTGATTGGCTAAAGCACTTCTTTGTTGAAAACTCTGTGTAACGATTGGGCTGGAACTTGTGTGTTGTTAACCCTTTGTGAACTGGGATACATATGCGCAACAAAAAAAAAAACACAATTAAAATTCGATATGAACTGAGGAGCCGCATGAGACTGGGCAAAGAGCCGCATGCGGCTCGACAGCCGCGGGTTGGCCACTCCTGCTCTAAGGGGTCCTCATGCTCCCCCGGGAAGATTTTTTTTTTAAATATTGAAGTTAAAAGCATCAATCTGGTGCACTTTGAGAGCAAAAATGAAGAGATCTATGGATCTATCTGCTCTTTGCTTGATTCATGCCTTCCCAGTCCCTTATCACGTAGCCTAGCCTATAAGAGCATAGCGCCAGTTTTTGTAGCCAGTTGTGGTGAAGGCATCTGACTTACTTGAACCGAAATGTCGCATAGCAGAAGATGGCATGTTTTTTACATGAATATTCCAGCCAATCTCTGTTTTGAAACCATGAGCTGCAAAATGAGTAGCACTTTTTTAAATATACCTGGGCAGGCTCTGTTTTGCCGAGGTCCTCTGGCACTTGCGGGCCGCTGAGGGGTGGCGGTGTTTGGGGCAACAAAGACGGCTGCGGCTGCTCCGCCTCCGTGGGCGAGGCGGGCAAAGCCGGCGAGTCGGGCGTTATTGTCCACGACAGTGGCCGCGGGTAACGTAATGTCCCCATGATCTGAACTGTTATTACCTGCAGTAGATGCAGTGTTACTGCTGGCGATAAGGGCTGGTTGTTTTAACAATTTACTGATGTCCATGACTGCTTTGTAAGAACCTTGCAGATGACGAACGCGCAGCGGCACAGGTCACGCACACCTGACATAATAATAACGTTACTTACTGTTTAAATTGAACAAATAAATGCAGCAGACAATGTTATTTAACCACAATTACAATTTATTTTATTTCAACTAAATTCTTCTTATTATTATTATTATTACTACTATTATTATTATTATATATGTAATATTTTTCACTTATTTTTTTTTTCACTTTTCATTTTTCAAATGAGGGTGCATAACGACTCAACTGAGGGTGCAATGCACCCTTATGCACCCCCGTAGAACCGGGCCTGCTTGATACGCTGTCATATAATAAAATGACAGTGCAATTTCAGGCTTTACAACCTGTTAACTTCACCACCATATTAAAATAAAACAGAATTTCACAGACCCTAGTTAGTCTATTCCTATTGGGATGAATTCCAAGCAGGTAAATGAAACTACATCCGATGTTACTCATAATTGCATTTGCCCGCTGGAAGCATGTGCTTGTGTGTGAGTGACTAATAATGATGTTTTGTTTTTTATTCAGGCTTCAATGACACTCCTGTGACTTGCCTTTAAATCTCCCTCACATGCTCCTAGAATCACATGACGCATCACCGTACCTTGAATAATGACTGAATGAGGTGTTCTTATCTAGGCAATATTGTCATTGTAAGCATGGCTAAACTCACCAATGGGCCAATGTATTGAGTCAAAGGTTCGACAGCAAATGGTTTTTATAAATGTAAGGCAGCATTAGGAGGAGACAGACCGACAGGAGTTGTATTATGTTATACTTAACGATTATCCTTTCTATCCATGTATCAGTATCAGTACATGTAAATCGTACTCAACATAATCCCAGTATTATGATGTTAGTTAAATCAGACTTTGTGAACTTTTACCTCCCAGCTAACATTACTCCACCAAAGTCCTCGTCACTGTTACTACTGTTTGTTTGCCTTGTCATGTTTATAAAAGGAGAAATACAGTTTGACAGTCCCTTCATACAAGTGCTCCAACCAACCACTTGGAGTTGATGGTTCTAGAAGAGAGCAGATCCTCCACTCACTTCCCAACCACTAATACTGCCATTTAAGAGCAGTGTGTGTGTGTGTGTGTGTGTGTGTGTGTGTGTGTGTGTGTGTGTGTGTGTGTGTGTGTGTGTGTGTGTGTGTGTGAGAGAGAGAGATAGAGATACTCTGTGTCAGAAACAAGCTCTCAATGACAGTGCATCTTTGAGCTGTGAATGTTTCATCATTTTTACAACTGTCAACCTCACTGTCAATTTGAAGAAAAATCTTATCTCCACAAACGATCAACTTTTCAGGAACTATGACAAACAGAGTTGCTCAAGAACATTTTAGATTATTTTTTCCAATTAGCATAAAAAGAGCTTCCAAAGTTCTTCCACATGCTTTAACAAATTAAACAGGGAAATAACAGCCATACATGAGGGTTAATTTTATGTTTTAATTGTTGTGGTGACACCAGCATAAAGGAGGTGATCACTGTATACTAACAATGACAACACATAGGCTACACTTGTTCAGCGTCATACCTGCGATGTCCCACAGCTGGAGGCGGACAATCTCTGAGTCCCAGTTCAACACCTTCAGTGCGAAGTCCACTCCGATAGTGGCCCGGTAGTTGGTGGAGTATGTCTGGTGGACGTATCGCCGGATGATGGAGGTCTTCCCGACCCCCAGGTCTCCGATCACCAGCACCTTGTACAGGTGCTCCTGGCGGTGGGTGTGCATGCCGTTTGAGTGTGATGAGTGATTGGTCATTGCTTTTGTTGGATCTCCGAGGTGTAACGCAGGTTTCAGCAACTTTGACTCGAGGGCAGTTTGAGGACCCGGTAATCCCGTGTGCAGCCTCTTTGTAATGAGTGTAGTGACCGCCTCTCCTGTGAGGAAGTGTGTCTGCTCGGGACAGGGGCTGTACTTGGGAACTTGTGACCTCTCTGCCTCTCCCTGAGGAGACTCGAAGTGCGCACGGTTTACTGTACGCTCCGCGAAGTTCCTGTCACAGGGCTTCGTGAGTCTAGTGAAATATAGCCTTATGACACTCAATTGTACGGTGGCTGAGAGGTGCAATTGACAATTAAAAAGTGTGAAACACTTTAACAAAGCTCGAGACAAATTTACATTTTAGAAAACAAATTTACATTTTATAAAACAAATTTGCATTTTCTAAAACAAAATTACATTAGCAAAACACTTTTACCAAAGAAAAAACGATTTAACATGAACAAAAACAAATTAATAAGATGCAAAACACTTTTACAAAGCTAGAGACACATTTATAAGTGTCGAAACCAGTGGCGGCGCTAGGGGGTGGCTACTTGGGCTCAAGCCCCGGATGTTTTCTGAAAAGCCCCGAATGTTTCACTTGAAGCAATTTTTCACGTCTCGTGAGTAATGTGCAGTACCGGAGTCTACTAGTGGAGGCCTCACAGATGGGGGTGCTGCAGCCCCCTCAGCATCCCCCCCCCTTCCCACGTCCATTCGCGCTGTCTCGCTGTCTCGCAGACCCCACGCAGCAAACAGGAAATGAACCCAGCTCACACTGCCGCTCCTCGCAGCAGCGAGCCGCGCAACGTCCCGCGAACACGGCACCCAGACCCCACGCAGCATTCTCATCTGTTTGTCATTACTGGTGTCATTTTCTGGTTGCTAACAAACGCCATTGTAACACATAATCACTGATGTTCCGCTGTAACGGTGGTGGACTCATCAGAACAGAGTGGGCGAGCTGACCAATCAGAGTACAGTGGGCTCACAGGGAGGGGGGGGGGGGGGCAGGAGCTCCAACAAGCCGTTTAGGACAGAGTGAATACACATACTACAGAGAATGCTGTGAGAAACCAATGTGAGTTAAGAACATTCCACAATATAAATCTATTCTAGTAGACCTCAACAATGGAATTATGATCAGTAGAAATGGCCATGACATGGGACCTTTAAAGTGTTTCGACACTTGTAAATGTGTCTCTAGCTTTGTAAAAGTGTTTCGCATCTTGTTAATTTGTTTTTGTTAATGTTAAATAGTTTTTTCTGTGGTGAAAGTGTTTTGCTAATGTAATTTTGTCTTAGAAAATATACATTTGTTTTTATTTGTTTTAGAAAATGTAAATTTGTCTCAAGCCTTGTTAAAGTGTTTCACACTTTGTAATTGTCGATTACACCTCTCAGCCACCATACATTTGGACCTAATGCTTATATCTTTGTGTCAACCTACCGTAAAAATCTCCATTTCAACTTTTTTGTAGTATTGTATCACAACAATATGATAATAATAATAATAATAAATGATATTTATATAGCGCCTTTCAAGGGACCCAAGGTCGCTGTACATGGTGGACAAACAAAACAAACAGACAATCAACGGGCAAACCAAAGAAATAAATAAAGGAAGCCAGGGGACCAGAAAAGGGCTAGGGCCTGAAGGCCAGGGTGAACAGGTGTGTTTTTAGTGATAATTTGAAGATGTCCAGGGAGGCAGCATTACGGATCTCGGCAGGAAGTGCATTCCAGAGGGTGGGGGCCGCAACACTGAATGCCCTGTCACCAACAGTTCGGAGGCGAGAGCGGGGGATGGAGAGCAGGCCTGTGTCTGAGGACCGCAGACTCCGAGAAGGGGTGTAGGGATGGAGGAGGTCCGATAAGTACTGGGGGGCGAGGGTACGGAGGGACGTGAGGATGAGTGTTTTGTATTGAATCCGGGACTTGACCGGCAGCCAATGTAGGTGGATGAGGGTGGGGGTGATATGGTGCCATGGCTTGGTGTGGGTGAGAAGCCTGGCGGCAGAGTTCTGGACATATTGGAGCCTATCCAGGGTTTTGCTGGGAACCCCGGACAGGACTCCATTGCAATAGTCCAAGAGTCAGATTGTATAATGTTAAAAATATCATGCAAAAAGTCATGGTGTCGTGTGCGGATACAAAAGACAAAGTCTTAGTATAGTAGCCTATGTCGAAAAATATGAAAAAAATCATATTATAGTATGTTGAAAAAAATGTCTTTAATATAGTATGCTTAAAATAAATCATGTTATGTTATGTTTAAAAATCAAAGGATAGTATGTTGAAATATATGAAAAAAGGGCATTCTATAGTAAGTTCAAAAAGAGTCGTAGTATTGTACTGTATATCAAATATCATGAAAAAAATAATAGGTACAAAAAAGTATTAGAAAAGTCAAACTAAAATATGTGGAAAGTATAGCATGTCAAACTATTTTTTTAAAGTTACAGTATAGTATGTTGAAAAAAACATGAAAAAAGTCATGGTATAGTACGTCACAAAGTCCTAGAATTCTCTGTTAAAAAACAGACAAAAGATCCATAGTACAGTGTGTCGTAAAATATGATAAAAGGTAATGGTATAGTATGTTTGAAAAGAGTGGTAGTAAAGTATGTAAACATTTCTGAAAAAAATCCTGGTATATTATGTCAAAATCCCAATTCAACCCCTGAATACAGAGGTTTCACTTTATCCAGTCAAACAGGCAAATTGCAAAAATGAGAGTGCTGTTTTGATTCTCTGGGGGAATCAACACAATGTCTAGGTCTAGGATGTAAAATGGGAGGTTGCTCACATACAGTACATTCTGTTACTGACATCCTGCTACTTCTTGCCTTTATGTAGCTTTAGGTGTAAATGGGTGACTTTATTCTCCCCTTTGGCAGTGACCTCTCAGCACAGCTGGACAACATGGCTTGGAGGTAAGGCAATAATGATTAACTGGTTGTTTTCTGTTGCCTATTAATAGACATGTAGGCCAAGTTGGGTCGCTGTAAATTGTGGTGCAGTTGAATTGTAACACCTTATCATTCACAGTTGATTTTAACAGTAGATTTCACCCTCAGATAAACAATGCGGCGGTCCATTTAGGCCTTTCTCTCTCCCTAAGCTCATCAAAGCTAGTGACTGCTTTGCTTTCCCCATCATGGTGTGAATGTTAATTTTAATGCAGGTCTATAATATACAACATAGAAAATTAAATCTCATCTTATTTAATAAAGAGTGCCCCAGAAACCTTATTTCTTCATTAATTATTGCACCATGTTTCGACACAATTATCTTCATATTTAGAGAAGGTTCACAAGTAACATGGTCTTGGGAAGTGTATAAATAATGCTGAACATGATCCAGTTTCTTGCAATTATAATAATTATGGCTCCTTAATAGCATACATTTTGATATTTAAAAGGTAATTTAAAGTCACTTTGAGACATTTTATTCTAGTTCCAGTTGTGCTTTTGACTGAATAGAGAAATATAATATTAATCGTATAATAAGGGGAAAACATTTCATTTTTTACAATGTTAATTATTGTATTTACAATGAATTGAAACAATTACAAGACCATATGTTGCATTTTGGTTGTAAACCTTTAATTCAACATTAGTTTAGATTGTAAATTATGAAAGGCAGATGATAAAATAAGACAAACATCTTCTCTAGATTGAATAATTAGCATAAAGCGTAGTATGCAACTGCACAAATTGGCACAAACCTGCATGCAAATATGAGAATTACTCATGATCATTTTAACAAACTAAAGCCAGTAGAAAAATTCTTCAAATTTGAAAAAACATGTACACATTTCTGCCTGTAAACATACAGAAGAAATATGTTTGTTAAACGAGCATAAGCTAGCTATGACATATATATCATCAGTTACATCTGCTAGCCTGTTATTTGACATTGTCACTATCATCAGACAGTCCAAAATGCAGATATAAAAAAAGAATGTTCAATAATTGATCAATAACATAGTTAAATGTCATAAAATATTATAAAAAAAGAACATCCTCCTTATAATGCCTGCACCATGAGCCCATTCATAGAAACATGTCATTTACTGCAAAGAGACATTCGCACATACAGAGTTAAAAAGCCAGGCGAGAAACAACTGTTTTGTAATGGATGTCTGAAAAATCTGGCACATTTTCAGTTTGCTTCTCTTCTCCTAGAACTGATATATGTGATACAAACACATCAATGCACCCACACATGGTATGATTACTTTGCTACTGTATCTATTCATCTTATTGGTTTAACATGTAGAATATCAAAAAGAAATGCATTACAAATGTACCTTAACGATTGGAAACCAAATCCTGACATCATGCAAACTGAGCCAACAAAAGACGGTGCTCATTCGGCAGTTATGAGTTAAAGTCAAGGTATTTTGGTTCAGACACATCCTGAGGAGGAAGATCGTTTTGGTCCACTTCAAATGACAACTTATTGTACATTCAGCTAAGTCACTTCTAGAGAAAAGAGTCAAAAACACATCCAAGTAGTCCATGTCTTTGTCGGTTAGACACCTGATGACATTGAGTCCATTAAGACAAGGTATTTTAACTCTTTTAAGACACAAAGAGCTCTTGTCCTATCAAAATGGGAGGGGGATTCATTCTTTCTTTCCAAGAAAAGGGAGGGTCATTGAGAACTTTCCACACTGGAAAACCCTGCTGTCTGATTCACCTCATGCAGCATCTGTACATGTTCTCCTCTAGCATCAGGATACAAAATGCTTGCTTGAGTCTTTCAGGACTGAAAACAAACAAGAGGTCAGGAAAAAGACGTGGAAAACTAACCTTTTCATTTCAGGAAAGTTATCTTCTATACAGACGCCATCATGCTGATACAATCGGCATCCACCAGATCTCACATTATTAGAGATATAAAAAAACATCACATGTACAACAGCGATACAGTAAGCAATCAAAACAAATCACGCTTTTTGTGTTTATGATAACATGTGATGCAAAATGTACAACTGAAATACAAGAGTTACTAATAATACCTGTAGTTACCTAAAAAGAAAATCAAATGCCTATTTGAAATTCAGTATATAAGCCATTTTGGCATAATCAAAGAAACACTGAACATAAATATTTGGTAACTTAGGATCAATGACAAAGTTATAATGAAATAAAAATGTAATAGGCTATTTCACATTTGTTTTCTCAGCTTCTCAGTAT